ATGTGTGTGTTTTTGGGAGGGCGACAGGCATAAATATAGTTAAAGAACGAAAAAAACAAACAATTTAACAAGCTTCCAAGTCATGTTTCAACTATGGATTGAAGAGAGATAAGTAGTTAGCAGGTCGTTAGATGAAGAAGCCAAAACAAGACATTAATCATAACGTTGCTTGGGGCAGATGAAACGACACAAAAAAAAAGAAAGAAAGCGAGAGTTGCTCCCCTACATACAATCCTTTATGGTTTATAAAAATAATACAGCATACAACGAACATCTACATATATGGGCTGGCATGTATATGAAGACGAACGACAACGACGAACAAAAAAAATTGAAATCAAAAATAAGGTTCATGAAGATTTCCCTAGATGGCTCTAACAAAATGCTGTCATCGAAAGTGAAGTTTTCAAATTTTCCCATGAGAGATTTTCATTTTTTGTCCCTCCTAGTCGCCCTTTCTATCTTTCTCTATCTCTCTCCAATCCTCTAACACACAATCACTCTCATTCTCTTGTTTACCCTTCAGAGACAATGGTCTGAGTAAAGTTTCCTTTTGTTATTCTTCATTTTTTGCTTTTCATAAATGTTGATCAAGAAAACGTTCTTAATGACTGAATATTAATCGCATCTATTCAATAAATGACCAATGACACATGAAAGATGGAAAAAGCTCTCATCTGATGGGTTAAACCCAGACATGAACTAGCTCCGCCTACTCTAAGACTTGTATTCAGACGGAGTTGAAAGACAACAGTCAATTGATTGAATTATGGTTATGGAAGTAAAATATGGAGAAAAACAAAAAATAAAATTTATCAAATGATTATATGACGATGATATGAGAGGGATACAAGATGGAAGAAGATGAGGAAGAAGAAGAAGTAGGAGAGAGAGAGAGGATGAAAGGGGTGGGGTATGAAGGTGACTGAGAAAGAAGTAGAGAAGGAAATGAATGCAACCGCTCGTGTTAGTCAAATGAACTTTAAGAACGAACGTGTAAAGACGGCATGTCAATTAATTAGCATAAAGCTAATCGATAATGCCCGTTAACAATCAATAATTGAAATATGCAAATGTGAATGTATCAGATGTTTTCAATCTCATCTCACCTGTCTGATCTATCTATGAGATGAGCAGATATAGGGAATAAGAAATGAAACAAAACAATGATTATCTTTATTATACATAAAGAGAAAAAGATATTTGTATTAAAAAGAATCCATTTCTCTCTATGAAGTTCCCTCCTCCTCCCTCCTATACTACAATGAAACATTTGTGGATCAAATCAACAACATCTACAATGAGCTGCATCAAGCAATTAGCTGACTCTCTCTCTACTCCTATCTCTCTCTCTATACATTTCATTTGAAATAGATCTTTCTATATTTCGAAAAATAAGTTGAAAACGTGTTTTCAGACCAGTATGATCAATTATTTTCTTTTTTTCTTCTTCTTCTTCTATTTCTTTCATGTTCAACTCCTCTATGCTCATCTATCCTATCCATGTCTCCTCATACTCTCTCTCATTCTCTTTTGAGCTGAACCCACTTGATATTACACGTGAAACTTCATGTATGACATCATTTGAATATGCAAAATAAGCAAAGGAAGTGAATAAACAATCATTTTTTTTGATAAAAAGCGCTCATATGTACTTATATAAGCACGACGTTTTATGGCTTAAATGGAACTATTTTGACGACAAAAGCGACTTTTCTTCTGATTTTTTGGGATTTTTTCTGGAAGTTTTGTAACTTTTGAATCCTCAATCTCTCTCTCTCAATCTCTCTCTCTCTCTCTCTTCATACTTGATTCTTTTGATTCGAGGAAGAGAGGGAAGGGGATATTAATAGAAGGAATAGTTAAGATAATGATATACTGGAAGAGATAGCTAGAAAGTGTTGAACATGGAAATAAACACACATACACACACAGAGGATGAGAGAGAGAGAGAGAAGAGTTAGTGCAATAACAAATTAAAAGAGAAAGTAGATAGAGGGAGATGAGAGATGTTAAAAGGTATATGCTTCTAACAGAGAGATGATAAGACTCAAATAGCAAAAATACATTAAGTGACTAAACGACGTAAGAGTTGTGAATAAGATAGATAGGAAGAGAGAGAGAGAAAGAGAAAAGGAGGGAGGGAGAAAATGTGGAAGAGAGATGCTTCAAAGATAAGTTTCTGATGAATAAATCAAGAGAGGATCGGTTTGAGAGCAAAAAAACTCGAGAAAGAGTAAAAAAAGATTGAAAATTGTGAGAAAAAATGCAAAATGGCGGAGTTCAAAGTTCATGAGCGGTGTGTATGTCTATGGAATGTGATGTGTGTCTCTCTTTGTGTGTGTGTGCTTTGGGTATGTGTGGCTGTGTGCGGTTGAAGAGAAGAAACCCTTGTAAGGAAAATGTTTTTTTATGAAGTTTCATCTCGAATTTCGTTTCAATTCAATCATAACATAATCCATTAGAAGGGTAGTGACAGTGATATCTCCAAGAGAATTCCCTTTTCTCTCTCCATCTCTCTTTTGTCTCGTTTTTTTATTCCTTTTTTGGATGAAAAAAATTGACAAACAAAGGGCTGAAGCTTAATATCTGCTTGTACAAGCTTGTCCGATTCAAACGGAAAAAAAGAAAATTTTTTTCGAAAATATTCATAAAAGCTTTATAAGTGTAAAAGAAGCCTGAGGGCATATTTAACTTTCATATAATTCGAGAAATGAAATTTAAATGAAAATGACGAAGCACATACGGGGGGCGATGATCTCTTAAGGGTTTCGTTCAGAGAAGAAGTAAAAGAAGACGAACTGTGATGACAGAAAGAGAGAGAGTGTATGTAGATTGAACAGAAAAATTGTTTTCACGTGCGAATTCACGTGAACGTACAGCTATAGGTGAAGTTTCAGAGTTCATAAAATGAAACTTTTCCAGAGTGGTTTCCTGAGAAGATTTGATTGAGCAGAAAAAAAATAAAAAATTAGGTTGAAGAGAGAAAAAGAAAGAAAGAATGAGAATTATATGAATTGGGCGATATGCAAAGAGAGAGAGAGGGAGAGGGAGAAGAGAGAGAGAGAGAAAGAGGGAGAGAGATAGAAAGGGTTAGTTTGAATGGCAATGGGAAAAGAAAAGAAGAGGAAAGAAGGGTTAAAAAACAAGTTGGTGAAGAAATAAAGATGGAAAAGGCTAAATGGAAAAAACGGATGATATGTAGTTGAATCTGAATGAAGTGATGAAGGAAAAATGCTGTAGTAGAGAGGAAATCTGGTAAGGAAAAAAGAATTTTCTATTTTCATTGTATGCAACGAAGGCAGATGATGAAGGTGGACGAGTCGTCGACGAGCCGCTCTAGCAAGAAGGAATTGCAGGAAGAAGAGGATAGCAACATACTAAGATACGAGAAAAGAGATTGAAGCAGTTTGAAAATGGAGGGAAGAGGGTAGAATAGATGAAGTACAAAAGGGTTTCACATTGAAAAAGGAAATATGAAATTTGATGGAAGAAATGGGGAGGAGTCTGTGATTGCGTTAAAGATTATCAAATTGGCCTGAAAAAAATGAACGCAGAGAGAGAGAGAGAGAGAGAGGATAGAGGGATGGCAAGGAGGGATGTCGGAGGGATTTGTTTACACAAGACTACAAGCACCGGATATGTCCTTAAAAAATAATTTTAATGAAATATGTAAAATGAGAATAAATATTTGTTGTAACGAATAGTTATTATTATTTTCTCTTTTCATCTTTCTTTTTCATCTTTTTCTTGGAATTTATAAAAGACAAAGAGAGAGAGAGAAGGAGAGTGAGATAGAGAGAGAGACAATGCTGCTGCCTGGCTATGGAAACATTTTAATCTTTCAAGCTTCTTGTGCTGCTTGTTGATCAGCCAAAAACTTAATAATAACGATGAGGAGAGCTGTGGAGGAGTCTGTTAATGGTGATTGAATTACAATGTAAATAGTGTTGTGAGTTCGTAGAATCTCATTCAGGTATTACCGATTTTGGTAGTTTCTCTCAAAAATGAAGTTAATCAAATGAATTTTTTATATTGGACATGCCTATGGATATATGCTGACTGCTTTAGTCATTGAAGAACGGCTACTCGTAAGGGGGAATACGATTGAGAGATTGAATACGAGTAAGAGGGAGAAAGAGAGATAGGCGAACAAAGACTATCAAAATGTGAAAAAAGATATTAATAGGGTGTGAAATATAAAAGAGAGAAATGTATACTGAGAGAGAAGAGAGAGAGAGGAGAGATAGAGAAAGGGAATAAGGTAAAATAAGAAATGAGAGGGAACAACCGTTTTTGGCATCTGAAGAAATAAAAATGAACGTCACGTGAGTTTTCACGTAAGACGTGACTTTTCGCTTAATTGAAACGTGAGAAAGACGAGATCAAAACAGAAAAATGATTTATCATCGTTAAGCCCATGAGTCAACCTAGGCTTTTGCTCTAACGCAAAACAAACGCTGGACCACCCTATTAGAAGTTTTTTATCGCTTCTCTTCAGCTTCTCCTTCTGCTTCGTCGATCTCGTCGTCTTCCTTCGTTTTCTTCTTCCTCTTTCTTTCTTTCTTTTTCCTTTTTTTAAACTCAATGACAAAGCTGAGTGGATTAGGAGGAAGTCTAAATGTGTCTGTAGAAACGGAAGAGAAAGCTCACAAGAATCTTTATTACTTAATCGTCTAAAAAAAAAAAATAATTTTTTGTAGCCTGAGATCTAGCCGAAGCCGATGGAAAACACACAGGCTGTCTGTACATAAACAGGATAACTAGAGAATTGTTCCGAAATGTTTAAGCGAAGAAGTGATGACGACGTATCCCTGGTCAACTTGATAGAGCGAATGCATAGAAGTCAACTAACATAAGAAAACGAAAGAGAGAAAAAAAATAAATCAGATGAAAGAGTTGAAAAGAGAGAAAGAGTGACAAAGAGTTAAAGATTTATCCTCTCTTTATCTCACTCTATAAACTCCCTTCCATCTGTTAGATGACTATTAGTTAGTCATTTACAAATGTCCCTGAATCAAGATCCATTTCTTGGCTGGAGTATCGTCAGTCTGCAAAAATGATTGTTAATGATGGGAAAATGTGTATGTGTAAGAGATGAAAAGACAAAGAGAGAGAGAGAGATAGACACATACAAGTTGGTGCTCAGTGAAATACTCCTTTTGAGCATTTACGCTTTCAGTTGTAACGTCCTTGATGATAATCTTCTTTAAGCCTATCAAGGAGAGCTTCTGAACAGAAAAAAAGATTTTTTTGGTCTCAAATGATTTGGAAAAAAAAACCTTCTTAATTGCTTCCTCATTGATCTCATCAACTGGCTCCAATAGAACAACATTCGCTTCCGAATTCATAATAGACTGAACAATAGCATTAGCAATACAATGACTGGACGGTATTTACCTGGATTTTCGTTAGTTCCTCATCCGATGAAGAAGAGAGTAATTCCGTAGCAATGAAGCTTTCGAAAGAAGCATCACGTGCAATCCAATAATTAATCGAAGAAGCCAAACTATCGTTCCACGCAAATCTAAAAACATTTCATCATTTCCAAATTTGACGAAAATGATTAAAAAAAAGAAAAAAAATTAATTTTTGCTGTCCCAACCTGACTCTTTTGTCCTTGATCGTATTGGCCCGGGTAAGGGAAGTACGGTAAAGGTATGGCTTGGTTTCAATGTTCCATACGTTACATGTGAAATTCTGTACAGATGAAAGAACGTGTAAAGTGAATTTGTGTACGATATGATCTGTCTACCTCAGCCAAGAGATGAGAGTTGATATGAGTGTATGGAGATGAAGCACGTGGAGTATATACTAAGGCAGCGGAATTCTTCGCAACGATTTCATCATTCAAAACATTAGCGAAAATCTGAAAAGCTCATTCATTTGTATGAGAAGTTCAATTGTAGTAAATAGGGAAGCAAATTTCTTTTATCCAAAGTTCCAAGTGCCATTACAGTTTGTCAGATGTCAAGATGAACTTTCTTCCGCATTCGCCCGCACCCATAATCTCGCATTCTTATCAAGATATTAAACCCGTGGAGAATATAGCCGGAAGGCTACTTTCAAATTTCCGAACGACTAAAGTGGAAGAAGAGAAAAAAAAACTCAGAAACTTCCTATCTCATCAAAGATTTAAACAAAGAATATTGAGTTACAATACTCGTCTCTATCTCATCCATAAACAGCACAGCATGTCATTTGTGACTTCATTTTGAAGATGAAGAAGAAGGAGAAGAAAAAAGAACTCCAACTTCCACTAAAAACTTGAGGATTCTCTATCAGTCAAATCTGCCAATCAACATTCAGACATGAGCAAGCCTTTTTCGTCGGCAAAAAAATTGAGAAAAACGATGAAGCTTAAAGGGCACAAAAGACTATGAAACGCTAACACAGCTAAAGCATTGCAAAGAGATAAGGGACATAGAGGGATATTACCTCTCTCAATGCATCTTTCTCTCTCTCTCTCTATCTCTCTCTCTCTTTAAATACAATTAACAAGGGTTAATTAAAAGATTTTTTTCTGAGAAAACATTCCCGTTTTATCTTTTTCTTCTTTCACACACACACACAACAACACTTGAAAACAAAACCATTTCCGAAAATGAATTTTTTCTTTTTTGCCTTTTTATTTTTCGAGCGACAATCTTCATCTTCCTCCTCTTCTTGTTTCTTTTATTTCAGTTTTTTGCAAAAAGAGTCGAAGAAGTAGAAGATGTCGACGAAGTAGACGAGAGAGTTCAACAAACGAAGTGTAAGGACAAACCTTATCAGTCCACACGTATTTCTCTCCATCCAATTTCTTATCCCACTCCACTTGCTCTTCATACCACACTTTGCTGAAAATCAGATATGTGAAAGATGTATAACAAAGAGGGGAAGACCTGAAAAGCTCAAGAAGATCTTCAGGAGATGTTGGTTTTGTTTCCTCAGCTGGCACTTTCTTAGCTAACCAATGAACTTGGCGCCAATTGTTTTGATACTGAACATGAACGACATTCGAATCATATATCCCCGGGTTATGTATACCTGGATGTAAGTTGGGACGGAGCAACTCCATTCAACATTGAATTTCCAGATTTTACCTTCTGCATCTTGATAACGAATGTTTCTCAACAACTAAAAACAGGAAACCCGATTGATGCTAGTAAGCTTAACAATGCCAACCGTGATGTAAAGGGATGAGAAACGATAATGAGTTGGATTAGCTTCGGAAGTGGAATGCATGGTGTTAGTTTTAGATCTTCCTGAAACCAAATGTTTTTGTGATCAGCTATGTGAGGATTATCCGACCTGTGCTTGGTTCAGAACAACTTTCTCTCAAGTGTACGTATCCATTTGGACGAAGCCATTTCATGCAATTCATCAGGAATTCGATTGTCTCAGAATCACTCAGATACATCATGAGCCAATTGGTGAAGACAAGATCGACACTTCAAATGAAACATTAGATGATTGAAGACCACAATGTGAAGTATTTTCTAATTATTGTCTGAAAACCTTACCTCGTGTTATCCATGACAAGATGGACAGCATCACCGATCTGGTATTGAACATTACCCATATGAGCATTGCGTTCTTTATTCTTCAAACATCATATACTATATATGGTTATACTATCTATACTCTTACCTTAGAAATAAAGGACTCAATGAAATCAGTTGAGAGAACGGACTTAGCTGATTCGGCCAAAACGGTAGTGAAACGTCTAAAAAGCAAAAACAACTTACTCACAGGTGAACAACATTCCTCCGAAAAAGAAAAAAAACAAACAAAGATTAGATTTCATTATCATACGGTGTCTCTCTCTCTCTCTCTCTTATCAATTTTGGTTTTCAAAGAAATTTCTTGTAAATAAAAGGAAATGTGGAAGGTTTTCAAATTAGTTTTAAAATTTTCAATAATCAAATTAACACCTGAGAAGGCTGTTATCTCATTTGCACATCGCGAACATGGCAAGTTTTCATTTTTATCTTTGCCGACACGTTGACCGGTTGCATCTCTTTCACCTCTCATTATCACTTTCTCTCTCTCACTCTCTCTTTCTTTCTTTCTTTTCTTCTCATTTCTAATCCATACTCTTCTTCCTCTCTAACACACTCTCTCTCTCTCTCTCTTGCTATTTATAATCTTGCTCACTTCCTTCACCTTCTTCTTTTCTTCCTCCAATGGATTTATATATAAGAGAGAAATAGACTAACCCAATACCAGCTCCAATATCAACAACATCCTTGTTAGTAACTTGGGGAAGACAAGCGAGGATATCGGTTCTGAACAAAAACAATATTGTTTTCAGACTTAAAGCTTATTTTGTTCCAACCTGTCGGCAGATTCAAGATCATCAGCAGAATGGTTAAGCATCATGGTGTTAGTATCGGGTTTATCCGAATACTTATCCCAGAAGGTTTTGAATCTATCACGACGAACTTCGGTGGCCATATCTCTGAATGAAAATGAAAATGAAAATAAGAAAGAAAAAGAAGAAAGAAATGTATGAAAAGTAATGTTTTTGTATGTTAAACTGTTAGTTGTAGGATGGATGATGAGGGATTGGGTCGGAAAATGTGTTGCGAGAGAAGATAAATGTCACGAAAAGGAACGGAAATAGATTTGTGCAATCGATTCGTTTGGTGAAACAGTTGATCACAATCAATTATTTTTCTATTTTTGGATGATGAAATGAGTATTGGAGTGAGTGCAAAGTAAAAAGACAACAATGATGATTTTGGAACGAAAATGACCCTGAGTTTGTGAGAAAAGTCAGTCAGGTAGATAAGGCAAGATGTAAAAGATTCTTTTCAGATATAAGCTTTGATGACCATGGATAATGGTGTGAGGGAGAATGGTAGACAGAGATGTAATGAGGTCAAGATTATAAAGTTTTTGAAATAAATAAATGTTTTTGTTGTGAAATAATATGTGAATGGAGATATTGAGATTGAATGAGACAACACTGACTCGCACAGCATGGAATGAAGTAAGACGACTGCAAGTCATAGAAAGCACGTTGTCATTTTGGAGGAAAGGGGGTGGAGTACAGAACGGTTTTTTTGATTCGCGAACAGTCAGAAAATAAAATAAAAAGAGAGAGATAAGGATAATTGATAATGATATAAGAATAATAATAATGAAATAATAATAAAAGGCCATCCCGATTATCGCTTATTCATATAGCTTGTGAGACCCGAAAATGGCGTGATTGCGCCATCGCGGCTACGATATGATTCTGAATTTGGGGCTATCGAAGACGAGCTGAAGTCTGCTGTCCCAGAAGTTTCAATAAATACTTGGAGAGGAAGAAAAAAAATTTTGTAAAAAAAGAAGGACAAAAAGCTAAAAGTTGACTGTGACTTTGGTTATATTTCAAGGACATCATCATTACGATTACCAGATCGTACGATCAGTCCATATGAAGAAAAAAAAGAAGAAGGCTATCATCGTCATCGTTGTCGTCTTCGTTTTAGGTATGTTTCCTTCTTTTTTCGCTTAATAGGGGAATGTGTGTTAATCACGTTGTCACAACATGTGCTTTACCATGTCTCTAGAGCAGGTTCACGTGTATGGAAAGCGTACCCGCCTGGGTGTCGCATGGCCTGAGGCCCAAAGAGCATAGTTTATGCATACTCTCTATTCCTCTCTCTCTCTTTCTCTCTCTTCATCTCATACTAATAGACTGTCGACGAGCACTATACACATGTGTCTCTGTGTACATTTCAAATTTAAAAAAATGATGCAATTATTCCATAAAAGTGAACAGTTTCATTACAAGTCTCCAGATAAGTATTTTTACGACAAACTTTCCAAACTGAAAAAGACCATTGAAAGGTCTCTTCTCTTCATTCCTTTCTATCTCTCTCTCTCTCTCACTCTCTTTCTGTATGAAGCGATTCACATCATCTTCACATGCAATACTTGAATTATAAAAGTTTTTGGTTTCTTTTTTTTTATTTTGGTATTGATGAAGAAGATGAGAAATCCCTCTCTAGACGAGGCATACTGTATGGAAAAATATTTCAAAAGAACAAAGTATCATAGAGAATGTTTTAAAAGAAAACATATGATGGCTGACGATTGAAACAACTCTCTCTCTCTCTCTCTTATCACCCACTCTCTCTCTCTCTGTTTCTCATTTTCAAAGTTGTCAATTGAACGAAATCAAGTGAGAGGGATGTTCATTTTGAAAATTATGTTTTTACTTTTACAAAACACATGTCTCAAGGGTTTCTTTCCAGTTCTCATGTGTGTATGTATGTGTGATTCGTTTCCGTTTGAGCTGCCGACGCCGGGGCACGTGGTCAAAAGGCTGACGGAATCAGTTATTACTATCAACCTTCATCAAATGTTCAAAGCATGTGATATGTATAGAAGCGAAATCAAAAGTTCAATTATGTGCCGGAACATACCCATTGCTTGGCTTTTGAACGTCGCTCAGCTCACTGTTAGCACTAATGGTCATGGTTGGTCTGAAAGGGTAACGATGAGAAGTGAATCGAATATCAATATGTATGAATTTGAATGTTCAATAACAAAAAAAAACAAAATGACACATAAATGAATATGAAAATGAAAAAAAGATTGTTTTTGACGACACAAAAAAGAGTGTTCAAACATGTTTCTTCAATGAAAAATAAAATTAACAAAACAAAACAATGGTGTGCCATGATGATCTCTGGCATGTAGGTTGGTTGGTGATTGGTTGTGTGACGGTCGACTGATTAAACATTTCAAATGTAAAATAATAATATAAAAAGAAATGTAAAATAGAAGACAAGTTCAAAACATCATTTTTCGAATTCGAAGTTGTGTTTATCATCGCGAGCGGGATGAGAAACGCCTTTCACGTACACTACACACACATATACATTCACCGGAGCCTGCTGCCATTGACTCCGGAATCTGAATGCAACCGCTCTCGACAGTTTATAAACTAAAAATGAAATTATGTCAGCACATCTGACGTAGACGTTAATTCATGATGTTTAATACATATACACAGATAATGTTGCTCAAGCAGCCTTTTAATTGAAGAGAGAGAGAGTGAGAGAGGGGGGGGGAGGGTAGAACAGAAATGATTTTCCATTTCGTTCATTTGATTTTTAAATTTTCTTCGCATATAGCTAGATTTTTGATTATATAAAGATAATTCTGTCGTTGACAAGCCCACGAATATAACTATCAAAGAATGTAATCTCAATAGCAATGACCTCGTCAACGTTGTCGTTGTCATCAGCTAAATGTTGAAGCTGCATCACTATGCCACTAACAGATGTGGTGGTGATGGTGGTAGCTGATGATTGTCTGGCTTGTGTCGTGATGATAGCAAATTCATAATATTATGATACTTCCTAATATGTGCGAACATAATAACTGATACTGACTGACTGACTGAAGAAGAACGTGTTATATATATAGATGTTAAAATAAACATTTCCCAATTATCATCAGGAAAGTACCCTATTCACTGAAGTCGAATATCTGTCATGAGTTTACACCAAAACTTTTTAAGAACATTCCAGTCACATTCATACAACTGCATTGTTGAAAGCGTAACGAAAAATTTGATTTTTTTCTCATTTCTCTCCTTCATTCTCCTATTCATGCAGACGGTTGCCATTACACTTCGGACGATAGTCGTCTGATCAGGTCCAAACAGTCTTTTGCATCAGAATTTGTACTAAGAAAGCCGGATAGTATCAGTTATCTATCACGTAGATCTGGACTGCATGACCTTCTCAATTACTGAAAATTCAGTGAAAAAAACCAATTTTTCCCTTCTTCCATAATAAGATAGACACATAGCAGGTAGAAACAACTAATCTTCATGTACATATGAACACATTTTACAGAAGTGTGGCTGTGAAAGAAAAAGAAAACCCTTATATCCAAATCACTGAGGGTGAGAAGGAGACTCAGAGAGTTCAACCATAAAAGTTTTGATGGATATGGGAATTGTGTGGGAGGAAGTAGTTTGTGTGGGGGGGGGGGGGGGGGGGGGGGCAGTAAGGGGATTATCACAGACATAGTTGGACATTAAAATTTGCGAAATATATGAAAAAAAAAGTTATGTAAGAAATTATGCTATTTAAGTCCTTACATGGCAATCTTATATACCAAGGTGCTTAACAATGCAGAAGTGACATGCTTTGACAGAGGACAACTTCTGCGCAAGCCTAGCGGGGACAAATTTATGATACAAACAAACTGAAGAAATATAAAAAAAAAAGGTTATTAATAGGAAAATGGTAAAAGGGTTAAAGGGTTATTCACAAATGGCGAAAAAAAATGTTCGCATCCCGAGCCTTCAATGAAGGGGTTTTTCGTATTAGAATATAGAGCGATAACTCTATCCACTAATCACATGTAACAATCTTCTAATAGAAGACAAAATTATAATTTTACAAGTTTAAGTAGGCGCAAATGTGATGTCGTGATTAGAGCACCGGTTATGCTGAGAAAATGATGATGATGACGGAACTGCTTTGTTCAGAGAGTTCTAACCAAAGATCATTAAATAAATAGCAGAATAGCATGAAGAACCAAAAATAACACATATGAGGAGTCTTATATAGATCTATAATACAAAGATGGGATAATTCCAGTCATTGGAATTTAGCGGAAGAAATCATCCCCAAAAGGATCGCTGTTAGATGGAGCAACCATGACTGGCTGAGGAGCGGCTCGCTGAGCGCCCAATGAATTCAATGTTGCCTAAAACAAGAAATGTTTTTAAAACGTATTGCGAGAATAAGAAAAAATGAGCTGAGAAGCTTAGAAAGCGGTTAAACAAACCTTTGGGGGATTAAGAATGTGATCGAAAGGATTCTTTTTGGTTTCTGTTGGTCCTACAATGCTGTCCATATCTACAAGCTTGCTGAAAGCCTCCTCCAATGAGGTTACACCCTTTGGCTCATCCCATTTATAATCCTGCTTGGCTGGTTGACTGAAACTGAAACAGAAAGATACACATGAGGAGGAGCAGACTATTTAATGAGCTTACCTATCGAATGAGGCAAAGTTGATGGCTTGGTTTTGTGGAACAGCATTCTCATTGACTCCCCAGTCAATAGAAGTTTGATATGTTGGGGCGACTACTGGAACTACTGGAGCTTGAGAGGGAATTTGAGGTGCATTGTGCGAAGAAAATGGATCGCTGCCGTAAGCGGCAGAAGCGAATGGATTAGTTTGCTGAAAATTCAAAAATTAATAGAATAACAAAAAAATTTGCATACCGAAAATGGCGAAGTGTTGTTAAAGCATGCAGTTTGATAAGTTTGTTGTTGAGGTTGTGTCGTCAACAAGCCAGTTGGTGTCGTTTGGGCCCAAGCTTGTTGATTTGGCACCTGAGCAGGAGATTGGAATCCAAACAGACTCTGTTGTTGCTGAGGAACTTGTTGAGGAATGGAAGTATTGGCGAAACTGTTCATACTCATAGAATTACTCATAACGGATGAAGTCTGGAAATTTGGGAAAATAAGAATCAAAAGGAAAACAGATGACTCACATTGCTAGCAAAACTATCAGTGAAAGGATCATTGAAAGGCTTCGATCCGAAAGGATCAGTGGGAATTTGTTGAAGTTGTTGAACTCCTTGTTCAATATTATGCAATTCGGTTTCCAAATCCAATAGATCCGCAACTGCAGCGCCCCCAGCTTCCGCACATTCCTGAAAACAACAATCTTGAACTCATTTCAGGAACCAAAAAAAGAACAACCGCATTCAGCGTTATTGCAATTGAAAATGAACTAAGCGCATAATTCCACGCACGCGCAACCTAATTAGCATAAGCGTCCCTGAATACCCATTTACCACGTATTCCAATATTATGTGGGTCCCCCATCTCACAACAAATTCAAAACTTAGCAGTAGTGCATACATAAGTTGCAAACCCTCATTGTGTGTATGATTACACTCTACGTTTGATAGTCAGCCTCTTATACCTCTTCAAATCAGCTGATGTCTTGTATACCTGCGTCAAACGGAAAACATCAGACAGCTGAAGACTCGAGCAATACTAACAAATAGGCAAGCGAACTGCTACAGAAGATACACAGACAGTCAAGAAAGACTCGAAACTGCTGGTGGAGACAAACATTCCAATTTATTTATTCTTTACCTTAACCAATCTATTGCCCCTTCAGATCAAACAGAAGTAGTACATATTTCATGTTCCAAATCAAGTCATTCGTGATCAAACACATCTCCCTCAGAACCTGCACCACTACATTCCACTTGTCTATCACTTCGAGGTGATATTCTCACTTATATTTTCTCACAATTTCATCATTAATCCCGCGCTTTTACTATTAAATGTTAAATATGTGCTTCAAATGGCAATTACGATAAGATCAGGAAGAGATGACTGAGAGTTCACTTAAAAACCTGAATGTGCCGAAAGCTGACATTTCAGGAATCAGTCACGCGCCCCCCAAAAGACAGAATGCTTTATCCTTTCTCCTTTTCCATTCTTTGTCATAAACTATTTTCTAAGACCTATTAAATCCATAATAAAAAGTGATAGTCTTTGATGGAAGCAGAATCAAAAAAATCTTCATCGATATCGACTTTCTCCCCCCCCCCCAACTCTCTCTAAACATCTCATGGTTTTTGTTTGTTACACAGCAGATGGAGGAATTAAGTCGATTTCGAAATATAACCAAAGAAGAGAAGACGAAGAAGAAAACAGTCGAAGCCTCATGATACAAGTCCAATCACACACCACATGATGGCGTCGATGATCACTTTCATCATCATATGACCAATTAGTATTACAACAAATGACCAGTTAGGACTAGTTAGTTCAATTGATCGAATTACTAACGGCTTTTGCCCTACCTCTCTCATTCAATTAAACAACCCCCCTTCTTTCCTTTTTTCTTATTTCATCCATCACTCTCCACATCATATACGACCAAAAGAGACACACTAACTAATTTTAGAAGTTTTCGTCACCTTCCCACCCAATAAGTCAATCATTTACTGCTTTTGCCAATCAGTGAATCAAAACCAGTTTTGCGCAGAGAAAGAAGAAACATATGCGACTTACCGTTGGGTTCTCTTGCTGTTGCTTCACTTGCTCAATATGTTTCTTTTTCATCTCAAAGACGACTTGGAACATATCACGAATAGCTAAGACGGCCTGATCGGCAGTCTGAGCAGTCTTAATTCCATAAAATTTGTATTTATCTGTAATATTATAACAATTAGTATCAAATAACTTTCTTATCCTTACTTCCTGTATCACCAAAGACTAAACCGAAAGCACGAGCATCACTAGTATCACGAGCAATGAAGGATATACGAGAGACTGGGAAGTTGTAGATGACAGCCTGAATTTTGATGTTTAAATTGCTTTACACAGTCAATGATAACTTACATTACTCTTCTCATCGACAATTTTGATTCCATCAATGTTAATTTGAAGATGTATTCTAGTCTTATGAGCTCCAGCAGCCTTAACAGCGGCTTTGGCAATTCGCATAGCTTCGGCACACATGCCATCTCCTCTGGCTCCTTCTACATCACGTTCTCCAATTAGTTTTCCCTGAAACGAATCAAAATCATGAATAGTTCAAATAGAAATGAAAAAGCAAAGATATCTGCCAATGGTCAGAGAATTCGAATTGAGCTTAGGTGATCATTAGACATCTGAATCACACCTATTGGGAGCAAGGTCGCCCCGACATCTGATGACGTCCAGTTAAATCTCATGGTGACAACGAAACACACAAAAAAGGGGAAGAAAAACAATATCTCAGGAAAGCGAAAAGGACATAGGCTGAAAGATTACCTTGTACGTCACTCCTTGGCCTTCAAACCGGAATGGATCAGATGCGTTTGAAGCTGAAAATACATCGTTGAAATACTGGAAATCGTAACTCGTTAGGAATCTTTTTCCCTTCTCTTCGAGTTGTCAAACTTTCACTTTGAAGTTAGTCTAACAAACCTTTTTTGTTTCTACGCAATACTCCTAATCTGCTCTTTGGTGATGGAGGATTCTTCTGAGCAACAACGTCAGTTACCTCATTCTCCAGTTTCTGCACCATTTCTAGAAAGAAAAAAAGGATGAGACATGTTTTAAAAATATTCCAAATTATAGAAGAAGGCACGTTAATCAACTACCAAGAAGCAAAGATAAGGACCGATAAGAGGCAAACACAATCAGACGTCTTGGAGCTGATAAAAAAAATGTTTTCATTAAAAAAATGTTAAAAAAAAAGAAGTCTTCATAGAACTAGTCTTGAATAGAAAATGTAACAAGACTGTTAAAAGGAAAGGAAGCAAAATGTTTGGATGGAGGGGAAGTGTGTATGGATGGGAGGGGGGGAGGCTGTTGGGCATGACGACAAATCATCTGTTTAGGCTTCATAAAGAAATGGAAACAATGCATTTTTACAAATAAGGCAAAAGCAGCCCCTTTAATTACGATATTACAAATGGCAAAATAATATTATATTTCATAAAAAAACTAATAAGGAAAATGTACGAATGTGTTCTTCCCACCAACTGAAGAGGTCGATGTGGTCGACAAAAAGTTGAAGGAGTAGGTAGGTAATGTGGAATAAGACGATGAAAACACGACAAGCAGGTTCCGAACACAAGGCGGAATCAAGGTGGCCTAGAAGGCGCACAAACCGTTGCCCTCGCTCCCCTCGGCGTCCCTTCTGGCGCGCGGCGATCACAGATTTGTGACCTACGCGCCAACGGGCACCGGGTCGAGAAAGAAGGATCAGTTTATAGGCGGGCAACATAGTAAGTGTAGTCATTTGAAAGTAATGGGAAAGTGTAGTTGGTAGAGGCGAGCCAGTGCAGAGTGAGGAGGGGGAAGGGATGAGCAAACTATAAAATGTGAGAAAAGATAATATTTTGGACGAAAATCTGATGAAGATAGAAACGAGAGGGGCAGGTGTGTGTGTATGAAAAATCATTGAGAAGTGAAGAATTCTAAACAGCAGGAGAATGATCCGAGGTCTTGTTGGTGTTAGCTCTTCCAAGCCATTGTTGATGAGAGACGCATCGATGTGAATCACGAATGATAAAATCTTAGGCGTTGTGGTTTAAATCAGCAGGTGGAAAACAAAATACTAAATAAGAGAGTGATCTAGTACATGGGGTCACTAGAAGCAAAAAAATATTTTTAAGTGGAGAATCGAAAGGAAATGTTTAATGAGATGCAGAAGGAGGAGAGGGGGGGGGTGGAGGGAGAGAGGAAACAACACACAGGATTTGCAAGTATTGCGAAGGTAATGAAACCAGAAAGTCGTCATCAAGCTTGGGCTGATGTGATCCATCAAGTCAAATGTACTATGGCATTGGTGATGATCTAACGGATATGGACAGAAGCAAACAGGATAAGTATAAGTGATAATTATAGACCAGAAAATGAAGTTTCCGGAAATGAGTGGCGAAAAAATTCTGAAGATGACGACTACACGACAATGACGTTCAAGCACTATGATGGAGGGAGGAGGGAGATTCCTGGATCTATAGATTGATCATTCTACGACAGTCTTACGTAGTCTGTTTGTTAAAGGAACTGTCGACCGGAAAAGACGGAGACATGCCGGACAAACTGTTGGATGGCTAGCCCCTGAGGACATGACGAGCCTGTTCCTGATTTTCATCCGATATTTTGCGAGCGAGCGAGCGAAAAGAAAAAAAGCGCAAAGGATTGGGGACGAAGGAAAATACAATGGAATAAGACGGTCTGCTGTCTAAATCAAGAATAAAAAAAGAGTCGTTTTCTGGTGGATCAATAAGCTTTTTATGGAAAACGATAAGAAGAGAAGGCGACAGACATCGAGGTAAAACATCAGCAGGCCGGACAGTAAAAAGGATCACAGAGGAAGAAGAAAAACGTTGAAACATAATGAAGAGGAGGCAAGAGGATAGCAAGATGGTCAGTCAGTCTCGTCCAGGTGGGATCTGGTCTTAATTAGAGGAGTTTCTCTAGACTTTATAGGACAGACAGATGGTCTGGTGAACAGTACTATTGTCCTTTAACGGCAAGTAAATGACTTATATTTCATTTCTCCTTGATTTCAAGATAACTAAAGTACAGCACACACAACGTAAAGTTCTCGAACCCGACCATCTTAACAGAAATTGATTTGAGCCCTTCAATAGGGGAAGGTAAGGGTCTGCAAAGGGGAATAAAGTACATTTCAAGAACACAACTATGGCATTTTCTCACAAAAACTAGAAGGATGATTGTTGGAAGCAAGCCGGTTCAAATGACAAAGATAAAAGATAAGCGAGCAGCTTCTGTCTACATACGGCCATATAAGTCGGCAAATAAGGAGAAGCTTTTGCTAATTGGTAACGGAAACAGAAGAAGAGATAGCAGATGAAGATGTAGAAACTTCTGCTAATTGCCAAAGCAGCCCATTCTCTCAAAACTAATGAGAGGGAAATATTAGGAGATGAGAGAAAGAGAGAACAGAAAAAAGAGAAAACTCTCTTTGGTCACAGCAGAAATCGTGCACGTCGACACAAGACGTCATGACGTCGTCTCTGTTCTGTCGCCTTCTCAAAACCGTCAATCTGAAGATCAATGACAATCAACGTATCTCCCTCCTCTCTCCAAGATTTGTTCAAAAAAAATGAAAATCTCGGAAGAGCCGTCATAAAAAGATTAGAAGTAGGAGAGCATCAGCAAACGTTTGTGCCGAAGACACATCGATCAAATAAAAACAAGGCCAACAGAGATGATTCAGAGAAGTATTTGGTTTTCTCAAACACTGATTTCAAGAGAATTGACCAAACATGTAGTTGAAAAGAGCTTTGTGTTGTGCTGACGAAAAACTGCCGTGGAAGTGGTTATTGATGGTGATAGTGGAATGTAGAAAGTGGTGAAGGGTTCAGAGGCTGTTCGTACACATCCTGCTGATACTATTTGAGCAAACAAACATCATAGTAAAACTATTTGAAGAAATACAAAAGAGAAAGAAAAATACTATCAAATTGTTTGGTTTGAAAGTCGTTTGGTCGTACGTAACTTTGAACCTTCAGGAGGTTAAGGATTATTCACATGACATGGCTTCTGGTAGAAGCACTATGACCTGAATGGAGCAGTTCTCCCTATCTCATATGTAACATTCATCCGTGATTCAAAAGAACATACGAATGCCCATAAACACGGATACATGGATGTTTTCAAGCAATCGAAAACTGCTTGACATGAATAAACTGGTTTCTAGTGATTACGATTAGACGATACGAAGAGACAACGAACAGCAGAATTGAGGATTTCAAGATTGTCTTAGAGAATTGTGAGCTAAAGCAAGTAATAATAGGTGACGTCACGAGAGTACTACGTATGGCTTGCAGCCAGATGCAATCTGATGACTCCCATAAAGGTGGATGGAACAGGCTTTAAGCTGGCTGAAACCGCCCGCTCGTTCTCATTTTCTCTCTTAACTATTCTTGGCTTGCACTGTCTCTCTAATATCTCTCTCCTTTCTTTCTCTACAACTTTCACAACCAACTATTGGGGGTAATGCAGCAGGAGTAATACTGAGAGCAGAACAAACGGGGCAGCTGACAGAATAAAGTAATACCGAAAAAGAAAACGGGCCAAAGTTGAAACAGAATGAATTCACAGACGCACTGTTCACTTCTTGAATGTAAGCGTAAAGAAGGAAGATCACTGATAGAAAAAGAACCGGATCGAAGTGAATCATCTGCTTCTGCTACTGGCTAATGCATGGGCAAGGTCTATGGGGCTTAGACCAGTTCTAAAACATTAATAATATTCCAACCAATATAAATTCCATCTGCCATTTTTGAACTGCAACCATATAAGTAACACAAAAGCTGAAAAACAATATCACGCTGGACGAGAAGCGTTTATAACTCTTATATTAACAGTTTATTCGTCCCCTCTATAAACAGAGCTCCCCCCTGAAAGCAAACTCTATCTCACACATTCAGACCATCTCTCTCACTATTCCAAAAATTATGTCCTTTTATAATCGCATGACTGCTGAAAACAACTCCAGTCCACAAATTCTTGCCGTCCGGGTACCGCAATAACGGAATGACGGAAACAGTGTCATCGGAACAAGGAACAGGGAACGGAGCTGAGTCAAAAAATCAGCTGATGCTGTTCGAAAGAAAAAGGAAGAGAAGGGTCAATTCGTCGAAAGAGAAGTGACCGTCATCCCTCCGTCTATCTCTATGATGACGATTATGATGATGACAAATACGAAAACCATACTGAAGATTGAAAAGAGGGAATAACAGAAGGGTCACTGCTATTGAGAACTATGCTGACCATAAACCGATGCAGAGTGCGCGAAAGACAGGAAGGTGAGAAAAGATAGAGAGGAAGAGATGGATGAGAAATGGAGAGAAGGGAAGAAGAGTGAAACGAGGGTGGGAGACTCATAGTGACGCAGATAATGTCTTAATTTCCTAATATGAATGAGTCAGGTAAATGGAGAATGCTCAAAACATAAATGAAATGTGAGAAGGTTCCAGTTTATAAACGGAGAGAGGGAATAGGCAAACTGGAGAGTACTCGAGTTATATAAACAATTGACTCTCATGCTGTCATAAGGCCAATTGGGACTACAATATTTCATTCGAAAATTAGGTTTTTGGACAACTGACCTCTTCTCTTCTTACTCAGGTGCATGCTTACTCCTGCTCCTCGCTTCAAATAGGGAGAGAAAAAGCTGAACAAGCAGATTTTTTTCAAACGAACGACAAAAAAAGAAAATAGCCAAGAAGACGAAATGTGCACAAGACCAAATATAGAATGAAGCATCTTCAATGTTGTAAAGAAAACCGGACTTTATTTACGGTAGAAGAGCAAGAGGGAAACGAGCAAGAAGACATTGAGGGAGATAGAGAGGGAAAGAGAATGTTAAGAGAGAATAGGAAGGAAGAACAAAGAATTTCTAAAGGACATCACAAAGACATAAGAATGAGTTAAAGAAAGAAGATTAAATGAGCAACCACAACTATAACATCATGCGTTAATCCTACTTCCAGCATTTATCGATTTTCTTTAGCTGCTGAACAACGTCGTACATTTTTGCTTCAAAATTGTAAAACGAAATAAGACGAAGGAAAAGGGTTCTGATGGAATTTTCTGAACTTTGACATTGTTTTAGTTGTGGAAATGAAAAGAATAAATAGAAAAGCTGATTGGGATATGCCCTCAACTAATCGAACGACCGGCTGATTCACGTGACCCCAGCCTCGTCACTCGTTGTAACTGAGGAGGCCCCGCCGTTCAAAAAAAATGTTTGTGAGGGTATGTGGGTCTGGATGACTGTCTGAAAAAGTGAGGGGCAAAATAAAAATCGGAACGAAAAATAACAGCAACGCTGCAAAATGCAACAGCAAGTTGGTAGGGGGGCTAAATGCGAGAAAGGGTAACGGAGGGATTCGGGTTGTAGTCGCATGAATGCGTCGTCTGTCTTCCCTTTTGTGTACTCTGGCCTCTCCTCCAATCGCAGTAGTTCTAGCCGAGCCATAATGCATTTGAGTTCCAGACTCTCTCGAATCGATGTACTATTCGCAGGTTTAGTACCTGTCTATTATAAGGCCACATGGACATTTAGGGAAGCCTATTTGTGGCAGGATGACCATGAAGAGAGAGGTAATGTTCAAATTGTAAAGATTACAATGTATTGTCTATACAAAGCTTTTCTTAATAAAGTAATATGTTAATTAAGGTTACAACTGGGCCAATTATACAGCAGCAGTATACACAAGTGAACGATGAGAAGTGTTTTTAGTTCGACTGAAACACAGATCAACGTTCTAATCAACAATCAGCAACGCTTCGAGGTTCTTTCTCATGTCCTCTCTAGCCATATATAGAACTCAACAAGTAAAATATTATTCTTAAACCAAACAATGTGATAGAAAAAACAACGGAGATCTTTAAGTCCACAGTTTATGCCGTTCAACGTCTACTCCTGCTTTGCATGGTCCTCAGCATCTGCTTCTGTAGCTAGAGTGGCCTGCTCATATCGATTTCCTTGTAACAGTTTCAGCACCTTCTCCCGTTTCTTCTGGATCTGTAAATGACAGAAGATGTCAATCGAACTTTCTTCGTCTAAACACACTTTTCGTTGTTTGGCAATTGCTTTCTGAACTTTCCAGTTGAAAATCAGAACTACAAGGACTAAAAAACAGAAGAAGAGAAGGAAATTTTGTGCTGTTTCCACAGGATTATCAGCGAAAACTCGTAATAAATGCATAAATTTGTACTTCAGCTCTTCAAAAGATCCCATCTGAAATGAAGAAAGTATTCACATTGAAAATCACAGCAACGACAGAAGGAACATAAGCTTGGATAACCTTCAAGTATCATAATAAATGGTCTCGCAAAGAAATAATGTTTAATACCCGAAGGAGGTGGAGAACACAACTGTTTCCCATTAGAAGAAAGTAAAAGCAGATTTTGTGAATAAGGGGTAAGTAAATAGACGAAGAGAAAAAAGAACACTCAAGAGAACAAACTAAGAGGGAAGAAGAACTATATACAATTGGTTGATGAAGAGAGAGAGAGTGGAGAAAGAGAGAGAGATAAAAAACAAGAATAATAATTTTATTTTCTGACTAGACAGATTAATGTAATCTTCAGAAACCTGATAGGAACGATATTGTTCAATTTCTATCCCCGTCTATCACTTGCTTATCCAAAATAATCAGTGAGCTATCAGTCCTAAAATCTTGGAATACACACGCAGTCGCATGTTTGCAATTCTTACTTTGGAGCAGTTTCATAGTCTTTTACCCTCATTTCGAAAATTGCTGACATCAACGTGATGGCTAATGTTTTGTAGGTGGTCAGCCTCTGATTACTAGCTATGAATGTTCTCCAAAAAAGAAAATGAGCTATTTGCACCCATACAGCTCTATAATTTTAAAATGCTCGTTTGTTCTAATCAGCAAGACAACCTTCGTCCTTCAATAGTCCACCAAATCCCTCGGAAGAACTTGAAGGTGGCGTATGAGTCCAAGAAAATTTCTAAACAATCCCACCAAGTTACCTAAACAGTCTCAAATGGCCTGAGGAGATAGAAATGTTAAAAATACGTTTACGTCTGGCTTGCTCCAGCTCTTAATAGGTTTCAAAGTCCATAACTTTTCGTACATATGACTGAAATATGCTCATCCAACACACCTCTCTTCACCATTACAATCTTACCGACAAGTTTGACATTGAGCTTTCTGTAACACGGGAGCTTGCTTCATCCACATATCGAAACAATCCTTGTGAACCCACTTCAAACTATTTTTCGTTTAACGTATTCGATAAAATTGAACCTTCAACGTTCCACTACATCTGCAGGGACATAACCAGCCATCGTGATCCTCTTCTCCATAGCAAACTTTACATAATTTCTCTACGGTTTGTCCAGTTATTACAGAAAACTTTAAGAGAACTTCGATAATCATCGTAAATGGGAGTACTTCCGACCTATTGGAGAAAAACAATAGAAACTTGAAGAAAACTTAGAACCGTATAAGGAGACTTTGCGATTAAACCTTATTTTCATATACTTTAGTCTTTACTTCATAAAATGATACAGAATATTATCGTCATCTAGTTTGAAAAATAAATATAAAACAAATCATTTCACAATTTATTTTTGTCTTTTGATTTGTACTTTCAAAAAACAATGTTAAAGGGTGGGTGAGTCGCGGCGGGACCAATTGCGTATATTCAGAATTCCCAAAAATTTTTCAATCGATTCTATGTTTTGTTATTATTTGTTTGTGAGTTGAGATTTTATGCTGTATTACACATATTTTGGCTTATATCAAATTTATTAATACATAATTCTAATTAATCTATTAATATGTTATAATTACAAATATTAAATGTAATCTTTTATCATTCGTCGTTGGCTCGCAAACGATTTAATCGAATTTACCACTCTTTTCGAATTTAATGATTAACAGCGTGCTATTGTCATTTCTCATTTTTCAGTTTCTCAAACTTAGACTATGTCAAGTGTACCTAAAGGTGGTGGGAGAGGTATAGGTTCGTTTTATATTCACGCTTCTGTTACAACTGTATGTCATTGTAGATGGGACCCTCCAGAAAACCCAATATAACCAACCCCCGATGTATGAATATCCAAAGTAAGTCTACTTCCGTTTCATTTTCACTTCTACTTGTTTTCAATGTTTTTTGTTTTCTCTTCGCCTCTTTCATGCATCATGCGTTACTTTTCTATTTTAGTCCCACAATGACCATCTCTAATAATCACAATGTGGTTCAAGAATCAGCTCATATGTACCGGGTCGCCGTTGATTGTTAGTTTCCTCATACAATCTCTCTTACCATTATTTTTTTCTTTTCAGCATCTAGACCATATATTGATCAGAGGTATATGTAAGTTCATAGCTCTGTCGATAGCTTACTCATTGACCTTCATTTCAGGCCTACCTATCCTTATTATGCACAAGAGTTCGTTTCAAATGTTCCATATATGAACCCAGTGTTGAATGTACCTCCTGCTCAGGTATTATACTATATCAATACCCATTTTACATGAAAACAAATTTTCAGGTTCAACCAGCCCCAACTTACCAGGCTCCAGAACGCAAAAAGGTTCTTCTGTCCATCTGTGACCCTCTCACAGGAGAACCTATCGATTTCAATAAGGATGACAAAAATAAAAAAACAGCTCCAGATACCAGAAGTAACACACAGTCATCTAGCACGTCTTATATCGCTTCTGCAGAAGCCAATGCTGATGCTGACAAGAAGAGAGACTCGATTAGAAAAGAGATGAACAAGAAAGTGTTAAATGAAATCAAAAAGAAACCAGAATCTGGCCCTAGTGTTCCTACAGGCACAGTACATTTCTCTGAAGCTGCAGCCCCAGTGTACTCCCCAGTGGTTGTACCTCCCGTCGTAATTGCTCCTGTTATTGCTTCTGTCGCTGCCCCTGTTGCTGCTCCTGTTGCTGCTCCTGTTCCAGTTGTTGCTCCACAACCTACTGCTGCTCCAGGTACTCATTAACTTACAACTATCATTTTTTACTGAATGATTACAGTAGTGAAGAAAGAAGCCACTCCAGTCCCTGAACCAGTAGAGAAGCCCCAGGCACCAGTCGAGGCTCCAAAAGCTGAACCAGTTGTTGAGGCTAAACCAGAACCAACTCCAGTTGAAAATGAAGATGTGCCTGTGCCTGTTGAGGCTGAGAAGGTATTTTGTCTCTCCTTTTCATTCATTTCATTATATCGTCTTAGGCTACCATTGCAAAAGAATTGGATAATGTCACAGAAAGCTCATCAGTCGATGCACCAGCAGAGAGGTTTGTTATATATTCGGAAGACAAAACATCCATCGAAAATTCATTCTAGTGCTTCCTCTGAAACCCTTGAAGATGGGGAAATTGTTGATGATCCTGAAACGGAAGTTGATGCTGAAGAAGAAGCTCGCAGAAAGGAAGTGGTAGTTCACTGGTTTACTTTTCTTTGCTTATGGATTATATTTACAGGAAGAAGCAGAAAAACGTCGTGAACGCGAGAACGAGCTCGATGAGCTGAAAATACGTTTGTTGAATGATATCACTGAAGTCAGTTTGGCTAACAACTGTTACGGACGTGCATTCCTCTATTGCGTCAGAGATATTGAAAAGGTTCGATGTTCTTTTCATGAATCTTCATAATTCTTAACTACAGGAGTTCAAACGCACCACATGTCCTTTGTCACAAAAGGAATTAGAAAACTTTGGAATCGATATTCTTTCGATGCCAAAGGGCTCTGACAAAAAACGACAGGACTTCAATCCTTCCTGGTTACCTAGAAACTCTATTACTGGTCAAAGAACAGGCAGAGGAGCTCAAGTAATTATTTAAGTTCACAACGTTTTTCTTACTACTGCTTGCAGTATTCGGGTAGAAGCTCCCACAATGAACACAGAGGTGGAAGAGGTTCAGGAAGTAAGAAGCCATACAGTGGAAAAGGTCTATCTATTGATCGACCAATGGAGAAGAAGGTCGGTTGCCTGAAATTGACCATCATATCTTTTCTGTTCAGATAAATCTTTCACACAAAGCAGAAGATGCGTGGAAGCCAGATAAACTCAAGACTGAAGATCAGGAGGATCACTTGAGGGTTTGTATATTTTTAAAGTATCATTCATGCAAATGTTTCCAGGATCTTCTCCGTAAAGTCAGAGCTCTGCTCAACAAGATTACCCCAACCACCAAGGAAGAACTCATCAAGGAGTTCCTTTTATTCAAGATTTGCAAAGTTCCCCCAGAGGCCAAATACAAGGCAACTGATCAACTGGCTGAGGTTGGTGTTCAACACTTCATCGTCGTTCATTGTTCTTCTTCAGGTGGTCAATATCATTTTCGACAAGGCTGTAGAAGAGCCTAAGTTCTGTCCTCTCTACTCTGAGTTATGTAAACGCCAGGTAGATGAAGAATTGGCCGAGAATTCCAAATTGTCTGAGCTCCGTAACGCTCTTTTGAACAGAGCTCAAGCTACATTCGTTAACAGAGACTTCCAAGAGACTTTCGCCGCTAAGGTAAGGTTTACTACAGAGCTTGTTTTGCTAAGATAGCTTATTAGATGAAAGCCATGGAAGAAGAAGCCGATGGTAAGGTAAAAGCCCAATTGAGACAGGAGATTGAGGAGTTTGAAGGAAAGTTCCGTAGAAGGAAGTTCGGAAACATTATGTAAGGGACTGTACAGTTTATCGATTTTCTACGATTTTTTTCCAGATTTATTGGACAATTATACTGTCAACAATTGTTATCAACAAAGATTGTCAACTGGTGTTTGTATGATTTGATCAAGCACACTCACAAATCAAACGAGCGACTTCCTGAGCCTCCTTATGATGAGGTAATCATTTATGACTGATTGGGAAAAAATACTGTTATCTTTTCAGGAATCTCTTCAATGCGCTGTCCAAATGTTGGAATCATTAGGAAAACAACTCGAAGGAGCTACTGATTTCCCAGGTAGACAGTATTTGGATCAAACCCTCGGCCATCTCGAAGAAATCTCCTTCTTCTGTTCAAACAGAATCAGGTGAGATTGCTTGTGTTCACAAGTTGCTAACCAATGAATCACAGATTCATGATTCTCGGTGTCATCGAGTTGCGTTCCAACAAATGGCAATTACGTAAGGTTGTTGACCAGGGACCCAAGAAAATTACCGAAATTCACAACGAGATCAAACAAGAACAGATGGAGAATTTGCAACAAAGAGAATCGGTGTGTTTGATGTCATCATCTCATTCTGACTGATTTCGTTGCAGTATGATAAGAGACAAGGCATGCGTGCTGGTGGTGGTTCCCTCCGCCGGCCTGCCCCACCACCAGTGAGGAACTCCTCCGATAATAGGTATGGACAGGGTAAACAAGATAAACGGGCTGCTGCTGCTGCCAGTTCCAAGTTAACGGCGACCCACGCTCCTCCCAGGCAGATATCTTTATCACAGGTTTGCAACATGCAACCGTCTTTCTGATAACGTTCTTGTGTTAGGTCGGCCAAGAGGACAAGAAGAGGACATGGAAGAGCGGAGCCAGTGGTGGAGGAGTCGGACAAGAGACAAATAACCGTATATCTGAGAGATGGCATAAGAATAGTAGTAGAGATGGAAGTGAGAACAGAAACCTTTCTTCCGCTGATGATAAAGCTGCAGCAATTGCAGCAGCACAACGAATGGGCAGTACTGATCAAAGAAGCCCTTCACAGGTTCGTCTTTACTTAGTGTTCATGACGTAACTCATGTATCCGTAGATGTCTTCTGCCTCTCAAGATAATGAAGAAAGCCAGGAGGAGAAACAAGAAAGAGAACGGGTATTGCAAAGGCTAGCCAAATGCATCAATAGTGACTTAGAAGAAGTAGAAGCCAAAGAAATGACAATTGAAGAAGTGAGTTTTTTGTTTTTGTATCTTTAAATGAACTTCTTTTAAGATGTCTACCTATTTATATGGACACGTCGGAAGTGAGAAATACGGAAAGCCTTCCGTATCAGATGTGTTCCAACGATTAATGCAATCTGCTGTAGAATGTGTAAGTTACACAGTTTCTTGACTCTTCGAACACAATTCATCTTCAGGTCAAAGCTAAGTCATTATCAACTTTGGGTCATGTCTTATGTAAGGCTCTTCAAGACTCTAAAAACAAAACCCAAGCTCTTGCCGGGTAAGTGTTGATGATCTTGTTCTCGGAGTAACATTCTATTTAGAATTGCTAATTATTGTACTTATGCCGTAAAAACCGATGCCTGGTGCGATTACCCTAAGGTTGTTTGGGGTGGCATTGCTGAGGTTCGTTCTCAACGCATTAGCGTAATAAGTTTCTTCCTTCAGGTCATTATTAACTCTATCTTCTGCGAAACAGCACTGTTCGAAGGTCCTCGACCGTGCCTCAATGATTTCGCCGAGTCCTTCATTAACGCCAGTAAAGATAATCGCGATGATCATCCTTACGAATTACTTGTAACAGTGTTACGGATGATGGTTCGCTTATTTTTTCTTAACCAATCATGATGTAAATTTCCAGGCTGAGAAGAACGTGCAGTTAGCCGGTGAGGATCATGCTACATCATCCTCCATGACTTTCCACGAATTGTCATTCCTCCGATCACTTGATAGCGTAAGGCTGGAGTCAGCATTGAAAGCTCGTCCAGCTCCTGAAAATACTGGGTTCGCGTCGTTGCATGCTCTTCTGGAGCATTCGTGATTTGCTCAACTATAATCTAATCAGTCTTCTGACAGTTTGCTATATTTTGGCTTGTGTTTGGATACAAGTATCTATAAGCTTTCAAGCATCTGCTCGCCTTTCTGTTGATTTTTAGTGTATCTTCTGATGGGTTGGTCCTTTTTTGGTCGGGTGCTCTCTCATACACAAAAAACGTAGAGTTTCGATCGTCGGCTAATAATATAAAGATTTTTTAGAATTCTATTTATTACTTTTTTCCTTGTAGTTGTATCTCTGTTATCATGCTAACACAGCTGCCTAAAGCTGATTAGTTTCAAATATAATTTGTTGTTGATTAGGTACATGATTGTTGTAGTTCTATTGCCTTCCTAATGGGTCCACGATGTACGTTGGTACTTCATGAGCGTTTTAAAGTATCCAGCAAAAAAAAATTTGTCCTCCAATTGTATGTATGGAGCAGACTAACCTATCATGTCTTTTGTTCTTTCCTTCTTTACGAAACTTTTATATTTTTTGTTTTTCATTTTTTGTTTTATAGCCATAGAATACGAAGTTCGGTTGTAAGGATCACTAAAATTTTACCGAACCTTTACAAACCCGTGAGACAGTGTGCTAAAAATTTTAATTTGCAGTTCTTAGATGGTAATAAATGGGATTTAATTTTTCTGATGTTGCCTTTGTCTGTAAAGTGGTTATGCTCCTCTAATTTTTATGTCCAACACAGTCGTACCTAATCAGTTGCTTTTATGACTTTCCATCATCGATCGCTAATATACATTTCATATTTTCAAAATTCGAAACTTGGTTACTCTCGTGATAAAGTTTAGTTTATTGTGTTAAGATTAGATTATGAAACTGTTTATAAACATTACAAAACATTCTGCAATCATTCTATTTTCCTCATAGGAAGCTTCCGTCACGATGGTCTTCAAAGTTGGAATCATGGGAGGGTCAGGATTAGAGGATCCTCAAATTCTTCAAAACCCTGTTGAAGTGGAGATTGACACTCCGTTCGGAAAACCAAGTGATAAGTATACCACCGGTAAGTGCACTAGAGATCCCTCATACAATACTTACACGATTTTCAGGTACTATAAACGGTGTTCAATGTATTCTTCTCTCTCGGCATGGAAAGAAGCATGATATCATGCCCGGTAATGTTAACTATCGCGCCAATATGTGGGGATTCATGAAATTAGGTTTCAAATAGTTTACTTCTTTCCTGTTCACATCTCATTAACAGGAGCTTCTGTCATAATTGCATCAACAGCTTGTGGATCTTTACAAGAGCACATCGAGCCAGGTCATTTAGTTTTCCCAGATTCGGTATTTGACAGGTTATTCTCGAAATATAATGGAATGTAGAAGATTTGCTTTCAGGACAAATGGAAGAAAATCAACTTTCTTCGACAATTCTTACTTGGAATGTCCAGGAGTTTGCCACATTCAGTTGCATCCTGTCTATCATCCCCTTCTTCGAAAAGTATGAAACATTTGTTTTTCTCTGAAATATTCCAATGACAGATTATGATTGATGGAGCGAAAGAGCTTGGGTATAAACACCATGTTGACGGCTTCGGAGTTTGCATTGAGGGTCCTCGTTTTTCGACGAAAGCTGAAAGCAAAGTATTCCGCTCATATGGTGCCAGCTTGGTGAACATGACCATGATGCCAGAGGTAGAAATAACTTGACAATATCAAACTTGTTCTTTGTTCCAAGTGTGCTCTAGCCAAGGAACTTGGTATACCATATGTAACCGTTGCTCTCGTCACAGACTATGATTGTTGGAAAGAAGGCGAACACGTAATGAATTCTCGTTTTTTTTAGATTTTTGGATTCAATAATGTTATAGGTGTCCATGGAACAAGTGATGACAACTTTCAAAGAGAACTCCGAAAAGGCTAAACAGTTGATCGTTTTATCGGTTCAGAAAGCATCTCAACATGATTGGACGGAAGAAATCAGAGCACTCAAAGTCAGCGAAATGTTTAGATTGCTCTTTAATTCGTATACTTGCAGAAATCAGCTAGATCATCCGTTATGATATCACCAGACATTATCGTCCCCCATTTAGTTAGTGAATAGATGTCCTGGTATGGGTACAATCATTAGTTGTAGGATAACTCTGATAATGAAGATGACAACGAGTGGGTCTTGCTATAGTATGGCTAATCGCATGATTAATTTTTTATTATAGTACCTAATTTCTCCTCAAGTCCTGTATTGTCGCAATCTTCCTCTGTCATTTGAGTTTTCCTCACATGTTGATTATTTGAACATTCCAATAAACATTTACGCTACCAGTCTAGCGAAAGATCCGAAAGAAGGAGCGACACAGTCCTAATCACCTCAGTTTGTATGGGATTTGAAGAGTGAAAGATACTGACGGTTTGGTTGAAGAGGTACTGTTGTGAGCGGTTTGGGAATACAACCGTTCTGGACAGTTTGAATGAGACCCCATATTTTGCTTTTGAACCGATGAGCTTTTCTCTTCTCTCTGAAGAATCTTCAGAGAGAGATGAGTGGAGCTCACCGGCTCACACAGAGAACTGAAGTGATTCGGATGCTCCACAGCTTATATACCTCCGCGAAAACACGCCACGTGAGAAAAATTTTTACGTGAAAAAAAAAATGATTCGGTCGTTCCCTTTCGTGAAAATGCTGTAACTTCACTCAAACTGAATCAATTTGACTGTTTCAAACGTTCTTTCGTATCAGAATTTCATTTTGAACTAGAATATAATGTTCATTTGTTCTTTCCGTCATTAAATCTATGTGGGAAGAAATTCAACGGCGGCCACAGCTTATAATTCTAGCTCTTCAGTTACTGTTGACCCGAATGTCTAAGATTGAGCCCTTTCTTGTAGTTTGCTGTTGTAGTCTGAGCTCATACTTTTTTGCTCCGTTTTCATCGACTTTTTCCTTTTCCTCCTACTTTCATCAACTTACCGGTTATCGATTGATTGCTTGCCTGAGCTCATATATAATTTTGTTCTGTTGTGTTCTCAATCTTCATCTTTCCTTAAAGTGTCATGTTTGATCAACTTTTTCCTTCAGTTGAGCTTATGGTTCGCTTTGTCCAGTTCTATTCAATCATATGATCATTTTCTGGCGACATTCTGGTTTGAACTTTCCAATAGTGATGATTGAATGGCTATAAGTCTTCTTTGCGATCCTCTTGATGCTCGTAGTGTCCCAGCCCCGTTCTTCGTGTTCAACTGGATACTTTCATGTTCGTACTTGTTCGATTTGGTGAAAATTTCATATGAATTGGATTATGAGGTCTATTCGTTGATTGCGAGCGAAATTATTCAAAATTTGTTCGAAAATGCCTGGCGACGCCGTTCGATTTCATTGAAAAACCTACTCGAATGGTCTGATACGTAGTTCCATTTCCTTCTCAGTTTTCTAAACTAATAAGAAACAAAATTTGATTCCAAGGCTATGCTTCTCCCAGTTTGAATTTTTTAAAGGTTTGAACATTAGCTGCGTTCATTCAGACCATTTTCAACTGCATTGCATCTATTCAGTCAAATGGTTTTTTTTTTGGAAAATACGTAAAATTCCTGTTTTCTTGAATCGTTTATTTGTGACGATTTTCACGTTCGGACTCGTACTATGTACGGTGCGCATTGGAGCTCGGCAGTGTTTTTTTGCACAAGAAGTGCACGGGACTTAAATTATGTACGGTGCACGTATTAGTCAGGTTTTAGCAAACCAGTTGTTTTTTGCAGTCCAGGGGATTGTCTTGGGAGAGTGTGAGTACTAAGGGGTACAAGATTGCTCATAACGTCTTCGGGGGTTGGCTAAACCTCCAGAGTGGTATTTGGTTGTTGGGAGAACAACAAGTACTCTACTCGAACTGTTGAAAGGCCTAGTCCTGAGGTTCACTAATTTTGGATGGGTGGCTACACCTGAGAGGTTAACCTCTCGAAAATACCGTATAAATTAGATTATAAAGATTATGATTAATTCAACTATTATTGTTCATGGAAACCGTTGGTGGATGAAAAGAGATGAAGAGTCTGAACCGCTTTTTATATTTATCTATTTAGTTTTTCTCATCACGTTCTCTCTCGATTTCTTAGTGTCATTTTGTTCATTTAATTCAGAGAACTTCGGTACACCTTGAGCTCTTTTGGATAATTCGTAACCGTTTTGAACAGTTTTGAGATGAAATGCAACGGTTCTGAACGGTTTGGGGTGGAATGCAACCGTTCTGGACGGTTTGAGGTGGAATGCAACCGTTCTGGACGGTTTGAGGTGGAATGCAACCGTTCTGGACGGTTTCGATGAAGCCGAGACGAGTCCAGACCACATCCTTGTCTTGCGAGTCGATTAGCTTTTCTTCCCTCTCTGGAGAGCCTCCAGAGAGAGAAGAGTGGAGCTCACCGGCTCACACCGCCAACTGATGTTTTTCAAGAACTCCACGGCTTATATATCCCTGCGAAAACACGCCACGTGAGAAAAATTTTTACGTGAAAAAAAAAATGACCCGGTCGTTCTCTTTCTTAAAAATGCTGTAACTTCACTCAAACTGAATCAATTTGACTGTTTCAAACGTTCTTTCGTATCAGATTTTCATTTTGAACTAGAATATAATGTTCATTTGTTGTTTTCGTCATTAAATCTAAAGAAAAAGCCCCGATATTCACTCCGAAACGTTTAGAGCAGAATTCGGGTCTGATTCGGTATATCGGCTAGCAAAATGTGCTATATTGCGAATTGTTGATTACTTTTAAAATACTCTTATCAAAGCTTTCATTGAACAACAACTGGTTTCTATTCATTTCCGCAAATCTTATCGATTTAAGGATTGTGCATGGTCATCAAATGATGGTTAGAAAATGGTATAAAACTTCGAAGAGATTTGGCGCCGATAATCATGGTGCATACTTCCGACTCAAGTTCTGATTTTTCAATCCCTGCATTACCTCTATCTCTACTGCCTACGTTTAAGAGCGAATCATGTTCTACATTGGAACAACCAACTAGAATGCACCGAGGTTTCGGAGAGGAATATAAGCCTGTGAGTTGTTTTTAATAGTCCTAATTATTATTTTCAATATTCAGATAATCAATAATGACGATCGCTTTGCCATCTATCTTGATATTTCCTATTTCAAACCAGAGGAACTTGTTGTGAAAATTGATGGTCCATTCCTCTGTCTT